GTGAACCAGATCAGTTCGTAAGTGCGGTTGAAAGACTAATAAAATGTTTGGCTGAAGTTGACACATGGATGTCAAAAAATTGTCTAAAACTTAATCAAAATAAATCACAGTTTTTACCACTAGGCACCTGGCAGCAGCTATCAAAAGTAAAAATTGATTCAATAATGATTGAAGATAATGAGATAAAATTTTGCAAGAAGGCTACCAATTTGGGATGTATTCTTGACACTAAATTAAAACTTTGTGACCACATAAAATCGCAATCTAAATCATGTTCAGCACAACTTCAACAAATATACCGAATAAGAAAATATTTGGATCAAACTGTAACACAATCATTGGTTCATGCGTTTGTCCATTCGAGATTGGATTATTGCAACAGTCTGTTTTATGGGTTGCCAGAAAGGTCTATCGCTGACATCCAGTCTATTCAGAACAGAGCTGCAAAGGTGATTGTTAGAGGCAGAAAATACGATCATGTGACGCCAATTCTGAATAGCCTCCATTGTCTAACAGTGAAGAAACGAATTTTTTACAAAATATGCGTCATTATGTACAAGGCCATAAACGGACAACTCCCAGAATACCTGGCTGATAGATTCATAAAGAAGCCGCTGTCTTCGACTAGCAGACGCATGCGATCAGATGACGTCAATTTGTTGATTGTACCAACTACGCAGCTGCAGACATCGTCTAGAGACATTGCAGTGTCGGGACCAATCGTCTGGAATAGTCTGCCAATGTCGATGAGAATGTCAAAGATGAACATTGTTGATTTCAAAAAGAATTTGAAAACTTATCTATTTGCGATGAACGATTGTAATTGATTGTATCATATCGTCTATTGCTAGGATGTACATTATTTCACTGTTCGTTTATTATTTTTCTTTTTTCGATAGCGCTTGTGAGAGATATTTATTTTAATAGGCGCTTTATAAGTATAATAATAATAATAATAATACGTACATACATACATACATACATACATACATACGTACGTACATACATACATACATACATACATACATACATACATACATACATACATACATACATACATACATACATACATACATACATACATACATACATACATACATACATACAGATACCTGACTGTGCGAGACCAGGGACATAGATAAAAGTTGAACTCGGAAACGATTGCATGCCTAACCATGGCTTGTTCATCAAAACGGGTTCATACATACATACATACATACATATATACATACATACATACATACATACATACATACATACATACATACATACATACATACATACATACATATTACACACACCTTTAACATTCAACAAAGAAATGCTTTAACAAATAAGATGCTTTTTAGAAGTTCATGCGCACAATTCATATTTATGTAACCTGGAGAGAGGCCCATCAGTAACAGACATCAGGGGAAGCAGGCTGTAAATACACATTTTAGCTCCTTAGAATGAAATACGTAGACATTAAACTTAAACATATTTTTTAAATAAAAAATTTGATTTGAAAGCGACTAGCAACAGTGATAGATGTGATTGGCCATAGATGTGCTACACGAAAACTACAAAACAATAACACGACAACTACACGACAACTACACAACAACTACGCAACAACTACACGACAACTACACGACAACTACATGACAACTACACGATAACTATAAAAAAACTACAGGACAACTACTCAGCAACAACACGACAAAAACACAATAACACCACAACAATGTCACAAGCACAACAACGGCGCGATTCACGTCGGCCTCAAGCTGTTTATATTTTCGTGCAAACGAAATTTGAACATCCCGCATCCTTTTTGTTAGCACAAAATTGATTTATTCTATCTAAGACTTCGTTTGCATGTATCAGCACCTTCTTGCAGTCTCCTTTGCATGTAATCTTCCCGCTTGCTTCTCATTTCAGAGTTTGTCTTACGTGTTTGCATGCACACGCACACAGCACTTACACGCTTTGTAATGAAACGTTTCTACAGTTAGATTAGAAATTTTTAAAATATTTCAGATAAGTATGTTTTTTCAGTTTTATTGCCCTTGCCTCACTCACTATTTATAAATCACATTATAATTTTTTAAATCTGTGAACATGGGTGACAGAGATGCGGGCGGTGCATAAGCCTACGTGTCCCAACTACTGAACACATCCACTGGAAAGTCATTCCATCAATGAATTCGCAACGTAGTTTTAATATTTTTTTCAGCAACATTCAGACCTTCATCTAATAAGCAGGTTTTTTTCATGGTCAGACAAACTTGGTAAAATATTATAATGTTGGTCATAAATAAGTTTAATGGAGACATAAATATAAGAGCAAACGTCCATACCTCACGCCCTTCCCACAATTTACGCGGACGACATGGCGTCGATGCACTCACGTTCACTACATCCAAATGAATTCTGGAAAATGGGGCATGTGTTGTGCGTGCTAAATACATAGCAACCTTTCAAGATATTTTTTTTTATTTTTTCAAACACTTCACGTTCCAATTCTGGTTAATGAATTATAGAGATTAAAACAATTTTACTATGAAATTTTAAGTAACCATAAAAGTTTTGATATAAGTTCACTATCCTTTGAAATAAAAATTTAATGCATTAGAAAAGTGCTGAGGTATCAAATTGTCAAAAAAATGAAAAAAATATCCTAGCTTATTCCTTTTGAATGATGATGTGACTTATATTTTTTCGATCGTTCTCAACTTTATTATGAAAATGCGGTCAGATTGCGTTGATTTCTTTCAAATAAATTCATATTTTAGTTTGAAGAATAAATTTAAAAAATTCAAACATTTTCCAGAATGATAAAATTAACGTGTTTTTCATTTACCTTCAAAATATTTAGTAATAAAAAGATATTTGCAAGGTCAAAATCGGATAGATTTAACTTTTTATAAATAAAATTTGATGTTTTGAATATAAATGGAATGTGTCAACGTTGTTGCGTTGTCCTTCTATTAGCTATTTTAATTTACACGATAAAAATTGAAAATTGGATTTTAAATGTTATTTTGAAACCCCTATTGAATGAACGTTATTATTACGAGGGTGAGTATCAACTTTTTTTGGCAGATAGCGTTTCGATAACCCAGCATAGAAGCGGTTTTAAATGTTGGCCTGATCTTGTGTTTATTGCGTCTTCCGTGGTTTTTTAATCTTGAGATTTTGTGGAATGACCAATAACTATTTTCTAGTGTTTAATTATTTGCTAACAAAAGAGGGCAACAAAATGGCTTTGGGATGAATTCAAACGTTTTAAATTAACTGAGGTTTAATGACATTTAAAGAGTTGCTTTGAGGATGAATGGAACGTTTTACACAAATGTACAATTTGATAATATTATTTTTTATATGCTTTATCCTGCTTCCTTGAAGTCGCAGAGTCCTTCACACCGGCACTCCATTTTAACGTCCTACACTTACGAAGTTTCAATTTATGTTACGAGCCACTGAAGCGCATAAAAATTTAGTATACCTCCATATAACGCATGTTACATGGAGACTTAATTTTATGCAGAGCAATCTAATTTTATTTTTATTCACTTTCCACGCAGCTGTTGGTGTTGCATTTTTGGATATTTATAAATGCAACATTCAGACTGTTAGCTCATCAATTACATTTCTTTGTTCCTATTACCGCAAGTAATTCTACAACCAATGAGTTGCTGTAGATGGGGATGGCTCATAGACATTGCCTACACTTAATATTTTTTTGTTTATTGGAATCAATTCTTGTGTTGGTTCTCTTTTATATCTCCTTCACAATAGACACGCATTCACCTCGTTCAAATGTTGCCGTTAGTTAGGCAGTCCTAATGGGAGACTCTGAAGCATCTTATTTTGGCTATGTTAAGCTCGTTTCTGTTTGATTTGGGCCAGGTCAATTTTTGAACAAACAGAGGATTTGGTAGAAGATTTGATGAGATGAACTTTTGTTGTTATTGCAGTGTAATTAATTTTTTTAAACAGCGCCTAGGCAATGTAAATGGCGTAGCTCTTTGTCAAAATTTGAAATAGATTTCAATTGACCACAGTCTCTATAAACTTACCAGTTGTCACTGTTCAAGGGTGGGTGTTGAGCGCCGCATCATTAAAATATATTATTGCTGCGGGGTAGTACGGCGCGTCGTATAAATAAAGTCCGGTCTTGTCGGACAGAAAGAAGGTTTATTTTTATTGTAGAAAATTAGTTGGCAGAGTTGGTTAATTTTATTGTAGAAAATTGGTTGTTAGAGTTGGTTAATTTCATTGTAGAAAATTAGTTGGTAGAGTTGGCGTTTTTGTTGGTGAGAAATTGGACACGCAAACGTGGCTGGTGAAGTAGCTGTTGGTTGGTAAGGTATTATTGGGAGAAGTTTCATTTGTTGGTACGTGGGTGGTAGTTATTCAGTGGTTATACGGGAGAGCTGGAAATACGTTACGGGGTTGTTACGAGCTCAACGACGACAAACGTAAGGTAGCGAACGAAGTAGTTATCTGTTGCGTTGGAGGGTGGCGAACGAAGTAGCTGCCTTTCAACGTAACAACAACGTTTGTCGGTTGGGTAAAGCACAGGTGGTGCAATATTGGTACAGAAGACGGCTGGAACCGAAGGAGTCAACCCCACATAACACCAGTGTTCGAAGGATTCTACATTGTTGTCAAGTGAAGAAGTTGAAACAGTATGCGCTCGTATATGGTCACAGCACTGGCAGAAACAAGTCTGCATACTAACCTCGAACTTTAACTTTTATTTTGGTTTTCTTTATTGACATTGTATATTATTGGTATAGTTTTAGTTTACAGAATAAATTTTTTTTTGATTTGTGTCTACGTCTCAACCTTGCCGCTAAGAACCCGCTACATTTGGTGTCAGAAGTGGGATTCTGTCAAGAGGAAGAAGGACAGAAAGCGGCAGTGGATAGAGTTTGCCTTTGTCAATTGCTGGTGAGTAATTTTCATTGACGAAGATACACAACGGACACAACGTGGTAAAGTTGGTAAAGATGGCCCACAATTTACGGTCGAAAGACAAAGGCATGAAAGAAGGTGTTGAGGAGATAACGTTGGATCCCGTGCAGGCAACTCAAATTCGGATTATGATGGAAGCAGCAGAAAAGGATGAACGACGCAGAGAACAAGCAGCTGAAAGAGCTGAAAGACGAGCAGAGTAAGCAGCAGCTGAAGAAGTAAGATGAAAATTAAAGTTGATGGAGGAAGATATGAGGAAACGTAGAGAAGCTGACATACAGTTGAGGAGTCAGAATATTAATGCTCAGCAAGGAGACCATACTGCTAGTATAATCCGTAGAATCAGTCCAATGTTAGGAATGTGTCCTATGGATCCCCGTGAAATTGCAGCATATTTTCAGAGGATCGAAGGAATATTTGACAGCTATCGAGTTAGTGAGGAATTGCGAGCAGATCTGTTACTGGCTAATTTGGAAACGAAGATGAAGACAGTACTAAATGAGATTAAAACTGATGATTATCTAAATTATGAAGTAATCAAGCAACAGATCATACGTTATTGTCGTTTTTGTCCGATGAAACTCCGCTATGAATTCTTTTTGGCTCGGAAGGCACATGATGAGACATATCCTGCATTTGCATCGAGACTACATCAAAATCTCCGATTCTATTTACAAAGTCGGAAGGTTGAAACGTTGGATCAAGCACTTTCATTGCTAGTCGTGGACCGAATGAAGGAATTGTTGCCAAAAAACTTGTTGGAACTTGCATTAGCTCAGGAAGGTGAGGAATGGTTAACCCACGAACGTCTGGCCAATGTTGTGGAGATATATGAGGCCAACATGAACATGAGACTGTCTAGTAATGTAGCCCCAGGCTATAAACCACTCCAAACGGCTGTACGTCCCGGAACAGATCCCAAATGGCTCAACAAAGAGGTTGTAAAAGGATCAATATCAAAGGTAGGTTGTTATCACTGTGGTAGTCGGGGACATCTTGCTAAATTTTGTACCCAGAAAACAAATCATAACCCCATCAAGAAGCTCATGAAATGCCAGGTCACTGCTATGTCTCAGGCCACAAAGGAGTTGCAAAAACCAAGTATTACTCCTGGGACCATACAGGCTGAAAAATACTTCAAAAGACCATTTGTTCAGGTTAAAATTCAAGCTGGTCCAACCTGTGCAGCATTGGTAGATAGTGGAGCAGAAGTATGTGGAATCTCTCCGGACTTATGTCACAAGTTAAACATACCCAGAGGGGTACGTTTGAGGATCAAGGGATGGAATGGACCAACAACAGAAGTAGATGGTGCATGGGTAATGATGGCCTATAACCCTAAAGAAGGCGAAAGTATTGCCCCCGCTGTACGAGTATGGTGTGCAGTGGTACCTAATGCCAGCAAACAGTTAATTATTACACCCAAGGTGGTGGAATTGTTGAAGATGGCAGAACAGTATGTGGTACCTGCCGTGAAACTCGAAATGACCTAAAATATCACACCAATCAAGTTGGGGAATGAGTGCACCTTGACGTTCTACAACCCTGATAGCCTCCAGATACCATGTCAGGAGAGGTGTGGACGATCTGATAGGCGTGATAGTGTTGATGCAGCCAAACGTCGTGTCAGTGAAAATGATGATAAGTGTAATGATGAAAGCATTGTTAGATCACATGAGGTTAACAAAGCTGGTACACATACAGTTCACAACAATAATAGTAATAACAATAAAAGTAATGTTGGACGATATGAAGTAGCTCACAACAGTAGCAACGACCACAGCAACGCCAGTGGTAAATTGATATCTAACAACAGTGGTAGTGAAAGTACTTCCCACAATGGCAACGACAGCAATAGCAGCGACGACAATATTGGCAGTAAAGGTACTCACAACAACAATGGTGATAATACGAAGATCAATGTTAGATTGGAAGTAGCTTACAATAACTACGACATTAATAATGGTAAAATAGATGGCAGCAGTATGTTAGATAAGGTTGGGAATGAACTAGTTAATGAAAATAATAATTGTAAAATAGATGGCAGTGGTATTGTAGATATAGTTGATGATCATGAGGTTGATGAGGAGAAAGATGATGAAGTCAGTGGAATTAATAATTGTAATTTGAATGCCAGCAGTGTTGATGGTGATGAGGATCACGACGTTGATGGTGAGGAGGATGAGAAGATGGAATGTAATGTTGGTAATGTTGATCAGGCAGATGATGCTGGTAACGTTGGTAAGTCGGATGAAGCAGATAAGGTAGATGGTGTTGGAGATGTGGTTCGGTCAGGGGAAGCAAGGGTTGGTAGCGATGATGGTCGATTAGTCGACGATGAAGAGGCGGATGTTCATGATAATGATGGTGGTTAGGAAAATGCGACGATGAAGAATAATAAATGTAATTTTAGAGATGAAGATGATGAAGAGAGTGTGGAAGGTGGTTGTACGCTGGAAAAAAAAAATTCCTTCAGGAACAACGTAAATGTCAGACGCTCAAAAAATGTTGGGAGTGAGCGAAGATGAAAAAAAAAAATTTTTTTATCGAAGATGACATTTTATACCACCAAGAAACTGTATTGGGTTATAAAGTGAAACAGTTGTGTTTGCCAGCAACCAGGCTGTTGCAGATATTTATGACATACTCTATACCAAGGGTCATCAGTTCCGATCGGGGTACTAACTTCACGAGTGGTATAACGCAGGCTTTGCTTAAAAATTTGGGATGTAGTCCTCGATTCAATACACCGGGACATCCGGAAGCGGCAGGAGTGGTGAAACGATGTAACCAGTCGTTGAAGAGTATGATCCAGAAGTTGGCGCAAGATCATCCTCGGAGTTGGCATCGTATGTTACCATTTGTTTTGTGGGCTCTTCGAGAGAAACCTTCAGCGACCACTCATGTTAGCCCGTTCACCATGTTGTATGGAACGTTGCCTAGGGGTCCTTTAATGATTTTAAAAGAATCATGGGTGGGAGAACGCTGCTTGCCACTAAACTTAGGAAAACAACCTGATGTATACCTGAAAGAGTTACGACACTACTTGGAGATCGCGCATGGTTATGCGGAGGATCATGCTGACAAGGAACAGCAACGGTACGCTCATCACTATAAATTACGTAGTACAAGTCGAAGATTTCAGTTGGGGGACATGGTCATAGTTCTAGTTCCCTCGATGTGGAAGAACAAATGGTGTAACAAATGGCAAAGGCCTGGTACCATTGTGAGAGTAAAATCTCCACATTCATACATAGTTGAATTAGAAGGACCATGTCCATGTGAATCATATACGGAGGTATAACCAACGGATCGAGGAAGTTGCTCTGAATAATTGTTTCATTCTAAGGAACGATGAAGAGGACTTCGGTCATCTACATTCATATAAGCCGGAGAGCACACAGGAGGTGAACATGGTACAAAGACAGATGAAAAGCATAACTCATTTATCAGATGTACAAAAGAAACAAGTGATGGAAATAGTGAAAATCCATGCAAAAATATTCCAACCTTGGATGGGATTATATTCAGCCGTACAGCATAGTATCAGAGTGAATGAAAAGTTTCGACCGCAACGGTTGCGTGCATACAAAATACCAGAATTACTTAAACCGGAAGTTGAGAAACAATTAAAGATGATGTTGGAGCAGGGTATCATTATTCCGTCAAACAGTGCAATGACCAGTCCCATTGTTTGCATCTGCATCATGAAAAAAATGGCACTGTCCGGTTGGCCGTTGACTACCGATATGTGAATAGACATTCTGAGGGAGATGGTTTTCATACACCTGATGTTTAGGATGTACTTCAGAAGGTGAGTCGAGCCCGATATATAAGTAGCTTCGATGCTAAAAGTGGTTATTGGCAGATACCCATGGAGGAGGAATCAAGATGGCTGACCGCCTTTGTTTGCGATTTTGGATTATTTGAGTCGTGTGCAAGGATTCACAGAGGCCTACATAAACGACATAGCCGTATACTCCAATAAATGGGAGGAACATGTCATGCATTTAAGACGCTTTTTTGAGGTGGTGGAGCAGTCTGGCCTAACGTTTGATATAGAAAAATGTCGTTTTGCACAGGCCAGGATACCATTTTTGGGACACTTGGTGGGATCGGGTACCATTGATATGGATCCACTAAAGTTGCAGAAATTACATCAAATCCGACCCCCAACCACGAAGAAGGAAGTACGAAAATTGATAGGATTTCTGAATTACTTCCACAATTTCATCCGCATCTAGCCATAACTTTGGATAACATAACGAAATTGACGAAAGGGAGAGGCAATGGGAATGTAACGTAGACACAAGAGCATCAACGTAGTTTGGATACAGTAATTCATCAGCTGAAGAATGTTGGAGGTTTACATACCATCGATTACACCCAACCGTTTGGTTTAATCACTGACGCTAGTGACCACACGGTGGCATGTTGCTTGGTGCAAATTCATAGTCTTGGAAAAGAACGCCCCATTGCATTCGCTAGCAAGAAACTGTCGGATACACAGCGTCGGTGGGCTACCATTAAAAAGGAGGCATATGCCATCTTGTGGGCATTACAGAAGTTCAGAGGATGGATCTGTATGTCGACAATCCATGTATACACAGACCATAATCCTTTAACGTATCTAACAGATGTAGTTCCTAAGAGTTCAAAGTTGATGAGGTGGGGGTTAGCCATGCAAGAGTTTGACATACACATCAAATACCGCGCGGGAAACATGAACGCCGCTGACTTTCTTACCAGGCTGGCGGAGAAGCCGGATAAGGATGGAGAAGTAACAGACACACACAGGAGTGAATATTTTACCCCGTAGAATATTCAACTGTTAGGGAGGAGGTATGTCACGGTTCAAGGGTGGATGTTGAGCGCCGCATCATTAAAATATATTATTGCTGCGAGGTAGGACGGCGCGTCGTATAAATAAAGGCCGGTCTCGTCAGACAGAAAGAAAGTTTATTTTTATTGTAGAAAATTAGTTGGTAGAGTTGGTTAATTTTATTGTAGAAAATTGGTTGGTAGAGTTGGTTAATTTTATTGTAGAAAATTGGTTGGTAGAGTTAGTTATTTTTATTGTAGAAAATTAGTTGGTCGAGTTGGTTAATTTCATTGTAGAAAATTAGTTGGTAGAGTTGGCGTTTTTGTTGGTGAGAAATTGGACACGCAAACGTGGCTGGTGAAGTAGCTGTTGGTTGGTAAGATATTATTGGGAGAAGTTTCATTTGTTGGTACGTGGGTGGTAGTTATTCAGTGGTTATACGGGAGAGCTGGAAATACGGTACGGGGTTGTTACGAGCTCAACGACGACAAACGTAAGGTAGCGAACGAAGTAGTTATCTGTTGCGTTGGAGGGTGGCGAACGAAGTAGTTGCCTTTCATCGTAACAACAACGTTTGTCGGTTGGGTAAAGCACAGGTGGTGCAATATTGGTACAGAAGACGGCTGGAACCGAAGGAGTCAACCCCACATAACACCAGTGTTCGAAGGATTCTACATTGTTGTCAAGTGAAGAAGTTGAAACAGTATCCGCTCGTACATGGTCACAACACTGGCAGGGACCAGTCTGCATACTAACCTCGAACTTTAACTTTTATTTTGGTTTTCTTTATTGACATTGTATATTATTGGTATAGTTTTAGTTTACAGAATAAAATTTTTTTTTGATTTGTGTCTACGTCTCAACCTTGCCGTTAAGAACCCGCTACACCAGTACTTTAAAAATTGAAAATGTCATTGCAAATTTGTTTTGATGAATTACATGACATAGATCATGTAAACAAATTTTAGTCATCATTACGGTTTAATGCATTGTTCATAAAATACTCTGAACTGTTGAACATAGTCAAGCACACACAAATACCGGTGTGAATGAATGCAAGAGTGCATTTTCAATTATATATGTTCACTGCGAGTGCTCAATGCACAACCGAAAAAATACAATGGCATAGAGAAATATCAAACAAATGTAAAACAGGCATATTTTTATTGTACGCTCGGTGCATTTCGGTCGTATATTACAACACGAAGAGCTTAGGCTCTTTCATGCCAATCAACTTAAACGATCATCTGTTTGACAACAACGTTATGTTATTTTTGCTCTTAATGTTGTTGGATAATCTTGGAAATCTTGAAATCATTAATAAACATTCGTATTGTTAATTATTCTATGCAGACCTATGCACACCAGTCTCTATGAACACGCCGGAATTACTTTAAGCGCTTCGCATTCGTTGTTTATCGATAAGCGTGTGCCTCTTTTTTCCTAAAATTTTAAAAGGTAACGAAAGTAATTTTAAATAATAATGTCTGATTTATTTTTTTTCTGGCTTTCGTAGGCCCTTGAAAAATCCGTAGGCCCTAGACATAGTTGATAAAGCGGTCCTGTGTTGTAACCAGTTTAGTTTCCTGATTGTTGTCTAGTTGACGTTTCGTTGAACATGCAAACAACATAGAGTGTTGAACATTCGGATATTAGTGTTTTATTTTTAGGAATATTTGGGGGACCAATATTGTGACGCTATTTCTGCTAATAAACGCGTTTTGTAAAAATGTTTAGTCGTTTTTATATTTTCAAAATCTTGTATCGCCCACTGACAGGTATTATAAGCATTGAACAATCAACTGTTGCTGTGTTGGTGGTACAAAAAAATTAATGGTGGTAGTTTATGTTACTCATCTGAAGGCTCTTGCTGTTGTTTTGATAAGTTGAGGCAAATTCACACGCAAACTAATCACGGCGCTCTATCGAGTTTCCCCATCTTTACGAGTATCCAACATCATTACATTTCTCATTATTGTCGATAACGTCGTCATCATGATTATCGCCTCCATTTTTATTACAACGAGAACATCACATCGCCCTATTTCATCTCTTTGTCATCTTCGTATAGAATTATTATTTAACCGAAAACAATTTTGTCAGTTTGGAGTTTGGAATTGGTTGGTCGTTCAGCTTCTTCGGTCGCAATGCTCGTAAATACACTGAAAAGATATTTAATTGGTGGGACCAAGACGTTTCCTCAGAAAAAATGGAAAGAGAATACTACTATTACTACTATTACAACTACTAAACCACAACTACAACATCAACTACTACTATTAATACTAATGATATTAATATTAATAGTTACTTCCGTCGTTTCAATAGATTTCTTTCGCACACCCCATTGCAGCTCCATCCCTCAACAACAACTATCTACACTCTTTTTATCCGCAACAAAATGTTCACGATTGTTCGTAATTTATAATAATCTTTGCGATTCATCTTTGCGCACCAGCGATTGTACATTCAAGAAAAATGTATAGGTGCACGTTGTACGCATGTCATGTATACACGGAGCATTTCTGAACGATGTGCATATGATATCCATAACTTTTGTAAAAGATACACGCCTGATATATACAATATTTGAGAACGATACCCAGCATTTGAAAAGACACGCATAAAATATACACAACATTTACAAAAGACACATGTTTTTTACACATTTTTCGAAAGATAAGCACATGATATACAAAACATATTTAAAAGATACACGTTTGATATACACAATATTTGAAAATGATATACCTATGATACACACAGTATTTATAAAAGATACGCACATGATATAACCAACGTTTGAAAAAATTACGCATGACAACATTTGAAAGATTAAACAACATTTGAAAGATACGCATATGATATGCAGAACACGCTTAAGGTGCAAAAGGATGTGATTTATGTACCATTGTGAATGTAAAATAAATGGTTAGTGAAAGAATGATGAAGGAATGGATGGTGGATGAATGAATGAACGAATAAATGATGGATGAATGATGGACAAATGACTGAACGATAATGATGAATGAACGACGAAGGAGTAGTGTTGCAAGTCTTATCGTTATATGAGTTATCTGACTCTTTCTCAACCTCGATTGATGACGGTGCAGATCAAGTTTGCGTTGGTCTTTTGTTTATATTATGCTGTTATAATTAATGGTGTTGCTGATGCTGTTGTTGAGTTTGATGTTGCTGTTCAAATAGGTGTTATTGTTATTGATGTTGTTCATCTAGACGTTTTTACACTTTGAATGTATTTAATGTTGTCGTTAATCGTGTTATTGTTGATTGATGATGTTGTGAAGATTGAGGCTGGCCTTGAAACTGCTGTTTTAACTGTGATTAAAAATGAAGATGATATTTTAGGTGAAGGTTATGAAAATGTTGTTGGACCATACGTGCATACACTCTTCCATAGTGTTTTTTGAGGAATGTAAATGTCTGATATTTCGAATGTTGTTGCTGTTGACGACGAAGTTAACGCGAAACTCTTTCTCACATTTTAATAACATATGGCCCATGAATGGTGCGCACATGTCGTTCATGATGTGGGTGCTGTAGTACTGTGTGCTATGCCGTCCACAATATTCGTGTTGTTGATGCTCTTCTGCTGAGTTTATGCTGATTAAGTTAGTTGTAATGCTTACTGGAACTAATTTTTGTTCAAATTTTATTTGCCATTTTAGTTCATTTTATTAACTGCTGTATTCAGTAAAAGCTACATTACATTTTTTAATGTTAATTATAAAATGGTTGGGACTTGTTTAGTGTTACTGGAACTAATTTTTGTTCAAATTTTATTTGCCATTTTAGTTCATTTTATTAACTGCTGTATTCAGTAAAAGCTACATTACATTTTTTAATGTTAATTATAAAATGGTTGGGACTTGTTTAGTGTTTGTTGCATCAACCTGCCTTCAATGAATGCCACTCAGTGTGCAACATAAACTTGCTTCATTATATTTAATGCTACACTTTCATCAACCGATTTAAAAAATGTTGCAATGCTATTGAAAGATTTCCTTCCGCCAAAAAATTTATTACGATGCTAATTAAAAAATTCATAGAAGTAATTTATAACAAATTAACGAATTTCCACAAATTTTGTTTTTGTCAATTTGATAAATAATTCAATTTTGAAACTTCCCCAACAGTTCATTACATTAAACAACATGATGAAGCAAAAATGTAGAACGATATTGACCGCTTAGCTACTCTACCACCATTTCCACTACATTTTAGTAAATAAAAAGTCAGTCGGTAAAACTTTTGCATAAAGTTTTGTGATATGGCATCCACAGAATTTTAATCTAACGCTATTTTTATGGCAACTCTTTAAATAACAGCGCCAGCAGATTATTAGATAGCAAATGCGATTTATCTTGCTACCACCACTTACAAGATTCCCTCTTTTTCATGCTATGGCGTTCTTATCGTGAGGTGGCCAGCAATAATTCACGCTCTGAATTGGCAATGTTTCTGCGAGGCACTTTTTGTTCATAGAGATTTGTTAATATAAATATAATTCGGACGAGAAAATGGGATATACATTTTCGCATATATGGATTTGTTTGTGCATGCAAGTATAAAGTGAAAGGAAACGTTAAAACATGTACAGGATCAAGTTGCTTCCACACAAACAAACTAAACAAAATTCTTCTTGGCTATACACAATTATTTTTAATATTCACTGGATATTCACAGAATATATTCAATTAGATATTTCATTTCCAACCGTTCACGATTATATAAATTCAAGAAACAAAATTTTATTCTGCAAAAAGCAGGAAGACTGAAATTCTAAAGAACTTTTAAGGTCACAAGATAATACTGACAAAATATAGGTAATATAAGTTAATCAAATAAGAAAATGAAAAATTTGATGAAACAAAGAAATTCAGAAAAATATAAATTAAGAAGCACTGACTTAGAAACACATAGGAAAGAAGGACCACATAAAAATATTATTGATAATAACCAGAGGCGTATTTACAAAATAATTGATAAATTAGCTACATATTTTACATAAAAATTAATTTTACCCAAGAAATGTCGAACATTTTTCCGTGTTTTTAAATTTTTTATTGCAATTAAATTATCTTTCAATGGAGTTACTGTGTTAATTTTTATTATATGACCCAAATATTTAACTGAGTCTTGGGCAAAGTAACATTTAGAAAATTTTAATCTGAATCCTTCTTTCAGAATCGCATCCAATAGCAAGGATAAGTGTTTAATATGTTCTGTAAATGATTCAGAAAATATTAAAATATCATCTATGTAATTAACAGTGAAGTCTGATAGTCCGTGTTTCCTAATGATACTACTCAATACTCTTTGAAAAATTGCCGGAGATGTTTTTAAACCAAATGGTAAGCAGGTCCATTGAAAATGATTTTCTTGAGTAACGAATGCAGTTTTTTTTCTGTCTTCAATTTTTAAAGGGATTGACCAGAATGCAGAGTTTATATCCAATGTTGAAAAATATTTACAATTCCTTGTTTTTACCATTAAATCTTCGATTAGCGGAAATGGATGTGATTGAGAAACTACGATTTTTTTTAGGTCACGAAAATCTATGCATAATCTACATTTTCGTCCTTCTTCTTTTTTATAAGCCAATGTTACTGGAGCTGCAAAAAGACTATAAGATTCTTCAATCAAATTTTTCTGTAATAATTTTGATACTTGCTGTTCTATTTCTTTTTTATCTTCAATACTACATCTGTATGGTCGTTTACTACAATATTTATCTACTTGTAAACCAATATGGGCTTCATATCCTTTCACCGTGCCTATGTCGTACTTATCTTTAGCAAAAAGTGTTTTATATTTTGAAATTATTTTATTAATTTCAGATTGCTGCTGAAAGTTTAGATGGTTTACTGAGATGTTGAAGCATGTCGTTTTTATATGTTTATTTAAATTTATTTTATTTTTACTTCCATCTTTCTTGAAATCTTGAATTGTTTGTCTGATATCTAATTTTTCATTTTCACATAATTGAAATGCTCTTATACAATCTAATCCAATAAAAAAATCGTAATCAAAATTTTCTTTATCTATAACAAAAACATTAATATATTTTTCAATTTTAAAAATTTTTATCTTTAAAGTCATTATTCCAATAGATTTTTTCACACCATTAATCGTTTTCAAATTTTCGTATTTATTATTCGTTAATTTTGAATTTATTGACAATAATTTTGAATTTATTAAAGATACATTTGATCCTGAGTCATAAATTTCTAAAGTTCCTAAAGTATCATTTATTGTCAATTTTATTTTGATTAATGGTGGAATTACAAGTTTTTTTGGACTAGTTTCATTTAACTGGATTTCTAATTCAGAATTGTTAATGCTTTTAATGTGGTCTCTTCGTGGTCGATCACTGTTTTTGTTTTTGAACCAACACCGAGATTCTGGATGATAGCGAGTTCCTTTTTCTTCTTTTTCACAAATTCTGCATGGCCGCCGGTCTGTGTCATGTTTCTCCTTAATGTTGTTTTCAAAATTTCTTTTTTTTACTAAATGCTCTAAACCTCGAATATTATTAAATAAATCTTCAGTTTCTTTTAAATTATCTCTATTTATTTATCCGCTATAAAATATAGTAGCCCTGTAACGATTAAATCAATGAGGGTTTGTTTATCCATTGATTTATTTAATTCTAATAATAATCTTTCTTTTTTTTGCATATGCTAATAATGATGAGTCTTGTTTGTGTTTAAATAAAATTGTGTACCGGACTGGCGACCAACCTTTGTCAGCATAGGTTTCACAAAAGTTTTTTTCCACATCCACCAATCTGAACTTACACTATACTTTATTAGCATAGAACTTTTGTTCATGTTTCCTCTAAAAATAACCTCAGAGCCTCAATTTTTTTTGTATCTTCATCTATTCCTAAACGAGCACATTCTGTTTCAAAAATATTCATCCATTGAGAAACATTTGATGTTTTTCTTGAAAATTTATCTATTACAAATGTTCTCGTTAGGTTTCCTATATGTCGAGGTTTATTTATTTCCTTGGTCATTTCTGTAAAATTCTCCAATATTTTTGCAGTGTTTCTTCAGAAATTCCAGTCGTAGCTGTCAGTTTCGGTGTTTCCGCAGTAATTTCCTCTAGTAAATACCCATTTAACTGCATATTTCCATTTTCATCTATATAAACATTTCTTATTTCTGGTGTTAATGAAATCCATACTTGTCTTTTTTCATGTCTTCTTCGTAATGTAGTTTTTACTTTCAGAAAGTTTATATATATATATATACGCTCGTATAATGGTACATACACAAAATTATAATGTAAAAAAAAACAAATATTGTGCATACAAATGGAGAAAGTAAAGATTATGAACTCGTTAGGAGGCGGTTTTATAAAAATAAAACAAAATGAAAAATAATAGGTTAATGTATTTTTACAGGCACACATACACAGCCACATATATACAAGTTTACTTGAATGCTTTGAACATCGAAACATTCAATTATTATTATTATTTTATTATTATTAAACTTTTAACTTAAATTTTCCATATTTCTGTTTAATTTTTTAAGTTAATATATTTAAATTATATATTAAATTAGCAAGATTTATTTTAAAGTTCTATTAAATAAAAAACGGAACGTTTCGAAATACAATCTCACCGTTGGCCAGATAATAATTTAAAAAAATATGAACAAACACAAAAACGGCCGCCAACGTTTTAGCGATGGGCGAAAAAAGTTTAAATGAAATTTATGATTTGATAATTATATTTAAATTTTTAAAAAATTTGTATTTTTAAACGTTGCGTTTTTACATATACTTAGAATAACTATACAGGCCCTTGAACGTACCCACGCACATTTTCAGTTAGCTTTGGTGTCTGGTCTCTATATTCAGTTTCCATGTAGAATTTATTATTCATTAAATTTATAAAATTTTACAATTTTTAGTTTACTAATAAGTATTTCTTTATTTTTTTTTAATTTTATTTATTTAGATTATATTTTAATTGATTTGAATAATATTTTAGTATATTTAGTATCTTTTTTCTGGTCTTATGTAGCCATATTAATTTGAGATCGTTGTGCTTGACAGGCCTCTCCTTGGTACTTTAATATATGATATTAAATATTAATTTTTTTAAATTAACTATAAAAATAGAAAATTTAAGTAAAACAACGTTTAATAATAATAATTTTTTAATCCAATTCAATACAATTTGTATTAATAAAAATTTACTGCCTAATTTTACACTTACATACATATGTCTACATATCGACATATGTGTAAGGTAAGATAATCATAAGATACAAGGATAAAATAATCAAAACTAGAAAATCATTTTATTTATTTCAAACATTTTGTAAACAATTCTGGGATGTATTCGTCGTTTAGGATTTATTCATATACAACGTTTGTGGCCTGAACCTAGGATGAGTGTAATGGACATTTTTTTAACCTTCATTAAAAATTGTTGCTTCCCGATTTATATAAATCAAATTTGTGCAAAATTCATTAAACCGTTGAATATAAATTTTATTCTCACTGGTAGCTTGCATAATATTAGTACTACATTTTTACACAGATGGGCTTTCGTTCGAACGAAAAAGTTCACCCCATTCGAGTGTGAATTTCTGTCAAATTTGATGCATTCAACTTCAATCACTGAGAAGCACACCGGTGAAACGTTGGTGAACTTTGCAATGAAATCTATTTTTGTTTTTACTAAATTTTCAGTTTTCAATATATGAAATTGAAACCAAATTAGATTATATTCGTGAATTGCAGAAAAAATAATTCATATTTTAATATTATATTATGTGGCTGCATTTGCCGTGCGGCGCCTCTTCATTTCGAAACATTCCTGTCCTGATCAATGATATTTTTAAAGCATATGCCGGTAAAACTTGTCAATTATTTTCTAATAATAAAACCAGATAAAAAAAACACATTCAAAATCATCAATTAACGTATGGAAAAGAGTTAAACTTTTCAGCGGTTGGTTGACGATGTCCGCCTTAAATAACGCCAGGCTTCAAATGTTTGCCCGTAAAACTCTTGTTACGAATAAGTACGGTTTCAAAGAAGATTAACGTTAAATATTAATAATGAAGAACCTTCTGACGTTCTTAGTTTGTACCGTTAACGATTGATTGTTTGTCCCAGACTTTGTGGTATTTGATTGGTTGATCTACATGCAGTATTGATTGAAATGAGCGGAAGAGACAAAAACATTCAAAAATCTTTCAAGAAGTAAGAAACATTTTTCCTGTTTGAAAAATCAATATTAGCGTTTTCTATCATTTTATTTGTACTTATTCTGTTCTGTCAAAAGCATAGCGGTTCACATATCGCTCTTCAATAATTTTTTGTGGCACATTGATTGTACATTCACACCTAGAGACGTACGTAAGATTCTCCATCAATCTGAAAGTACCACATCTTACGCCAATGTTTGTGGATGTGTTTGAGTTTTGGACTGCGTTTGAACCAGATTGTTGTGCTATAAGAATGGCGCATTGCAATTTTTCGCTTTTCAACCATGCTAGCAAACTCTCAACCCCACCAACCTTCAAGAAAACATTCTTTCCATTTTCAATGCTTTTATTGTTTTCATTAAAAGTGAAATCTACACTTTTACAATAATATCATCAAAATATATTATTAAATGGTATTTTTCATATCTATTAAACAATAAAACAATTACGAGAGCTCATTAGTGCACTACCAGACCTTTCATATATGTAGAACACATTTCATCAACTCAACGGCCGGTAACCGTTCCACGTGAATGTTAGGGAGTTTTAAAAGCCTTAATAGGCGTTTAAAATGCGTTGAGAAAAAATATGACGTTCCAAAAAAAAATTATGGACAAAAAATGACAGGCTTTGAAAGTGATCATTTCAATGTTGTCTTGCTGCTGGAATGAGGATGAAAGGAGTTGTCGAAGAAAATTGTGACGATGGTGAGGGGAGAATGATGATGAAGAGGAAGATAGTGATGGTAGTGATGATGATAATGATGATGATAGTGATGACATGACAGTTGTTATGATGATGAAGATGATGACAATTAAAGTTGCAATTATACTCATAAGATGGATAAACGGTTTTCCGTTAAAATATTTTGACGTCGTCGTTTCTGTAAAAAAAACAAATAAATTGTTGGTATTTTGTGCTGCTTCGATAATTTTATTTTAAGAAATATTTAAATTATAATGCAAAATTTTAGGGATACCGTTTTATTTAAATGTACCAAATATGAAAAAAAAGAACTTTTTTAACGTAAATAATAAAATCTTACTATATCGATTGCGAGACTATATACAATACACGTTTCAACATTTAAATTTCAATTCTTGAATTTCATTTAGACCAGGGGTAGGCAAACGTTTTGTTGTGATAGCCGCATTAAAAACTAATTTATCTTTGGAGGGCCGCATATTTATATATATAATTATATAAATATATATATATATATATATATATATATAACTTGAAGAGTCAATGTATATATATATATATATATATATATATATATATATATATATATATATTGTCGGAAATTTGCAACTGGTGGTGAGGTAATCTCTTCCTCTATCTTTCTCAGGGAATTTTTTTATGGTCCGACAATAATTTTTTGTATATTTTTATCGTGAGTTCGACCAGTCCTGTGTGGCACTGGGCTTTTTCGAATTATATGATTTTACTGAGTAACACACGAACGCGTAAAAATATTCGATAACAATTTTATTAATCGATGGAAGTAAATGAAAAGGAATTGAACTAAATGAACTCTAGAATAATGTAAAAAAAATGTCAATGAACAAACTGGAATACAGGAACTAGAACTTCTTCTTGTTGGGTCTTCAACTTGGGATATGTTTCTTGGCGTTTAATCGTACAACCTCGACGTGTGTGACCGATGGTGGTGTCGATACAACTCCGAGAAATAAATAAAATGAATGCAGAAAAAATTACAAAAATCGGAGCCTATGGAAATTGCAAGCTGCGTGCAAAACTATACCAATGAGTATAGATTTCAGCAAAGAACCCTAGGTCCACAAATAGCACAACAAAAACAAAAGAAGGAGGCGGATTCGTTTTCACAGAATCCAAGGCTTTTTTTCACTGGGCCTGACAGTCAGTCGGTCGGCTTTCGCACAACCCTAGCCTGTTTTCACTAGGCCGTCGAATCTGGTCGGCTTTCGCACAACCAACACAAAACAACAAGAGTCAGAACAACACTGGAAACAAATTGTGTGACTTTAGTACGCGCGCGAAACTATGCCAATGAGCATAGAGTCTCGTACCAAATCCACTTTTGAGAACTTAAAACGTTTCTGAAACTATGCCAATGAGCATAGAATCACGAATTAAGTCTCTTAGATACCAGAACAGGCACCGATTGTTCGAATCTACCTAACTGGTGAACCAAAGGCGGACTCTTTTCGAGAACTTAAGACGTTCCCGTGCCAACGAGCATAGAATATCGAATTAAGTCTCTTAGAGACCAGAATAGACACCGATTAATCAAGGCTGCCTAACTAGTCAACCCAGCGGACTCTCTTCTCAACTAAAACTTAAGATAAAGAAACTCTATATTAAAGCAAAATTAGATTTTGTTTCGAGTGTTTTTAAACATAAAAATTTCCAAGGTAAGTCCAATTAATTAAAAAAACTACTAATAAAATTTTAAAATAATTTGTAATAATTTACGACGTCATCTAAATTGCAAAACAAACAAAAAATCGTCTTGTCACCTATCGAGTAAATTAACTTGCATCAGGCCCCCTATCGAGTGAATAACTTTGCATCAAGCCGCCTATCGAGTGAATTAATTTTGCGTTGAAGAACTTTGAAGTATTTTTAGTCAGTATTATTTCATAATTCTGACACTATATAGGTTTACGAACGTTGACCGGAAGTGTGGGATTTTCTAAAATTTTGAAATGTTGACCGGGGAAGCAACATTTATGGCTGATGACCTTATTTTTATTTATAACGTCATTTTTCAATTTTTTGTCAAATTTGGCCGCATAAAATG